CTTTCCAAAGTGAATTTTCGAATCTCATATACGAGCTTAGTGCTTGTGTATATGTTTTCTCTTTTTTCGCGGCTACATTATGGATTTAATTATGTGTGCATTATAAATAAACTCGCGCCAGATTTCATTTGCGATGAATTAAGAAACTGTCAACATTATATATTTAAATTCCTACTAAGAGAAAACTCCCGCATTCTTCACTCATCAGAAATAATTCCCAAATATATAATTTTTCTCATAAAAAGGAAAACCTCCAGATAAAATATCATCAAAATGAAGCTTTTCCATCTGAATAAGAAATGTACCAGTTCGCCAAGTTTTTCCCCGCCTTTTGTCTACTCAAGTCTTTTGCAGCGTAGAGTGTATTAAGCCAGCATTTCTCAAACTGTGGTTTGTGGACTACACGAGGTCCTCCGATCTTGCCCTTGCCTCCGAGATTAGCAAAAAGAGCGAAAAAATAAATTCAGATAAACTAAGCTGAAAATCTTAAAGCTTGGAAATTACATATGGAAATTTTCTATCAGTTTTTCTATCAAGACTGATAATTTATGAAATTTAAAACCAGTTACTTTGAACGTGGACGCAGTCCCTCTAGTCTTTGCAACAAAAGAGAAATTTAAATTACTTCAAATGTATTTATCATTCTCAGAGCAGATCCATTCTTGAATAGTTGCGCAAGAAATGGCAGGCTCATCCCTGTCATAAAATATGAGCAATATTAATTTCGTTTTTAACCCATTAGCCGCTGGTGTTGCGTTCACGCAACGGTCACAATAAATGCGTATATAAATATAACTACCTAAGATATTTTATACCAGCAGATGATTTTGTGTAGTGAATATTATGAAGATTATTTCTGTAAAAAAGTATTTGCCTTCAACAATCATTTTGTTTATAATAATTATTCTCATACTTTAAGCAAAATTTTCGACCGGGTATTTTTGCTGAAAATATTTACCAAAAGAATCGCCGTCTTTATGAGTGATCTATTTTCAGTCAAGGACACCGTTTATTAGAACATTACATTAGTCAGATGTTTATATTTGTGTTGGGAAGGAAGGGAAAACAGGTGTTGCGTTGACGCAACGTCAGCAGGAAACGGGTAGTCAATCTCCTTTTTCACTCATTTCTTTCGATGTTCTGGTTCATTTTCTGGTTGTTTAAAAATGCCTAGAACGAGGTGTCTTACATTAGAAGAAGCCCTTCAAAGATTATTTGGTGAAGAAAAATATGATGATAATGTTAATAATGACCAGAATGAAACTGATATTGTTGTTGTTCCCCCAGAAATTGCAGAGGCTAGTGACGAAAGGAATGGCAATGTTTTAAATAATAATGATATTTTACCAAATTATATTTGCTGAGGAATTTGAAATTCACGTAAGAAGTAAATTTCAGCCTTCTAAAAGCAGTTATAGTGATACTAAAAAGTTTAAAAAGCAGAAGACTGAAATCTTGAAGTGGATAAAAAAGGAACTGTTAGTTATGTCTCAGGAAGAACATGAAGAAAGAGATAGAAGAGAAATTATAAAAGACAAAACACAAGGTAAAACTTGTGCTCATATTTTCGATTTTCGTTTCGGTTTAGACGTTTACTCTCTTCTCGTTGAACAGACAAATATATACGCTCAAAACAAATGCCGTGAATTTATTGCATTTGAAGCCTATATGAGAAGATTTATTGGAATATTATTGTTTACAGGATATCATTCTTTACCTCAAGAAAAAATGTATTCACGTTTCCAGTACAAGAATATGAAGCAGAATTTGCATTTGACAATAGTCAAATTGACAATACTGATAAATTATATGAGGTGACACCGTATCTAAACTTACTAAATATCACCACTTTTTACTACTGGAAATAAAATTTTCTTTTAGATTTCAGACGCGAGAATGCATTATTCCTTTTGCAAACTCCTATTGAGAGTGTAGAATTAGCCAGAAATAGATCAGCAACAGGAAGACGTAGTAAATTCAGCATTCAAAAACGTTGCATGGAGATGATAGACATTTTATCGTTAAGTCCGTTGATAACAAAAGACTTTGTTGTAAAGAGTACCATAGCCAGACTGTTTATAGATGCAAAGTATGTAATGTAGCTTTACATCATGATTGTAATCAAGCTTTTCATGCTTGAATCTTTCAAATGAAATAATCTGTATTTGTAAAAGAAATACAATGTATATTTTAATATTAAATTAATTACAAGTAAAGTGATTTGTAGATTTATAAAAGTTATCCGTAAAAACGTAAAAAAAAGTAATCCTGCGCTCCATTCAAAAGAAACATCACACGAGTACAATCCTACTCACTAAACATCCGTCTTATTCCGCTGACGTTGCGCGAACGCAACACTCGCTTTTTCCACAGGTAAGAGAATTTTTTTTATTTTTAATGTAAATTTATGTTATAAATGCTTAATTTAATATTTGTTATTATTTTCATGAGAAAAGAAACATTCCTTGTAGTTTTGGCCTTGTAGTTAATGTTCCTAACTTGTTCCTTGTAAATAATGGGTTAATTAAAAAGATGTTAAAGATTATCCGAACTCTAATAGCCTTGAATTATTAAAACCAAATATAAATTTCCTGCTATTAACTTAATACCAATATAAAATTAAATGAATTTCAGTTAATTGTATCTTTAAAATATATTAGTTGTAACACATACCTAAAGATTTCTGTCAGAGGGATCAAACGCAAGGTTGTAGAGTCAATAGGTTGTTTTTAAAGCAGGATACGTGAAAAATGTGCAATACCCTCACCGGGACTCGAACCATGGACCTCTGAAATACGCATTGAGTATGCTTTCACTACACCACGAAGGCATACTGGAAGGAGGAAGAATATACCTTCTAAATGGTGATGGGAATTAGGGGACCCAAACGCCAAATCTTGGTGGTGAGGAATCATTGTCCACCGCCTTTTAGTTCGGGCGCCGTTTGTAGAATCATTGGATTTTTTTTAAACAGGAGACATGAAAAATGTGGATTTATGCCGGAGACGTATTGCACCTTAAAAACATATTTTACTCACAGAAATTTTGCAGTCAAGGGGCATTGGTCCACGATAAGGAACTGATACCCTTATCTGCTTTCATTTTATCGAATTCTGGGCAAACGTTTCGGTTATTTGGCGGATAAAAGTTCCTTGAGTTCGTACATTCCCTACATATTACTTCCCAACAAATGCCTAGCCACTGAAAAAGAATCTTAGCTGAAGAATTAGACTTTTCACTCTTCATTGCACTTGGCTGGGAACTGCTCAACATCAAACAAAAAACGTCTATGCTGCCGACTGTTGATGGTCACATAACAGTCGCATAAATTATTTAAATTACTCGTATTCCATTTTAGAATATCTAGAACGTCTCCGAATATCTTACAGGCAGATATTAGCAGAAAGATGCTGTAGCATCATTTTGGGATAACGAAGTTTCGAAATTAATCCATAAATCCTAAAGATCTATGATATTGCTTCTTCCTAAGAAAGAGAAAATACTCAAACAATCTTTTCTTGAGAGATCTGAAATTTCTCTAGAACTCCAAAAAAAGGAAAAATTTGTATAATTTCATATAAAATCTTTTTAAAATTATTTTCGTTTTATTTCACAAACAAGAGGGCTCCTAGGTATATGTGGCTCACTAGCATCCGAGCGGTATCGTCGCTGAACACTGTTAGTTTGGTCCGAATCCCGCAAACGAGCTGGCTGCATGGGTATTTTCGTGGTTTCCCCCATGTGTAACATGTATACGAGCCAGTTTACTTTAAAACGTCATCCACGAAGGCATCCCTCCCTAAAGGCAGATAGCCCTCGAGTGCTTTTCCGTAATGTAATAAACCAAACCAAACCAAACCTAGGTATATGCAGAAACGTCTTTTGTTAATTGCATGCTCTTTGTACATATTTATTAAAGTTTTGAATTATATATATGACTTTAAAACTAATACAAGCATAAAATTATTAAGCATAGTAGTATTTAGGATAAGGTTAATTTATTGCACTCATAAAAATGAGAGATAAATCAAAGGTTTTTATGGCGTGTGAAACACATTGCCTTTAAAAATTAGTTTTACGAAACTGAAGGAATGATTGTCGCTTATTTTAAATAGAAAACTGCTGGAAATGTTTATCATAAACTTCTTTTTTTCTGTTGAATGTCTGTTATTTGATTTTTTTCTCCTTAACATATTGATTTATTTAGTTCTAAGTTTTTAAACTTTTCCGTTTAATACACACTAAAGTATAATATATATATTATTATTTTTTTACAGTTTCGAGTACTTTATTTAGTTTTGCGTTACTAAGTAAATTAGACAGCATAGTAATTGTATTGAATGGCATAAGATAACCGCAGCAATTAACAAAATCATTTTAAATATAAAACCCTAAGGTTCTGGCCAGCGGTTTCGTATACACGAAAATACGAGGCCCAGTGCAGTATTGTCTGTTTAACAAAATTTAAGCATTCAGTTGCAGTAATATATATCTCACTATGTTCTTCAGACTTATCGCTAGCTATTTTTTTTTTACTTTTTCCAAACCTTAAGATGGCCATGAAAGGGCATCAGTTTGAAACCCTCTCGGATATTATATCAAATGTTATACGTGTTCTGAGAAAGGTTAGTTCTAGCACTTATACACGGTGTTTCGATGATCTGAAGAATGATTGGGAAAATTGTATGCACTTCTCTGGTGATTATTTTATAGGAGTGAAGAGTAGTACAATTGTCCTGTTACTTTATATAAATGCACCTTGTATGTAAAAAATGAAAAAAAAAAAAACGATGCAACTGATTTATCGCTTCCGAAAATTTATGAGGTTTGATAAAGCCTAAGGCAAAAGTCTAAGCCAAATAAGCGTTGGCAGGGTCCGTTGGCATGCCCATAACGTTTATTCCGTAAGCAGCCGATAAGCATCCCTGTTGTCTCATTTGTATGTCCTTGGTATTGAGATTTTGGCGAAAAGAAAGAAGTACGTCATAGCTTATCTTAGAGGGCGTCCTTCTTTTTAAACATGCCGCCTGCTCGGTATCATGACAATAATGTATAGTGAGCTTAGCATTTGAGGAGGAATTTCGGTCAAATGTAAGATCAGATTTGTGCGGTGTAATTATATCAGATTTCAATGGCGTGCAAACACTTGGGTATCAGTTGGAACACCCTGTTTTATAAATGGGATGTTGAGGCACTCGAAGGTTTGAGGGCAGAATTTCGAAGTCTCCCATCTCCTCCAACAATGTGTACGGTATGGTACTTGAACTACATCTCAGTTAACGATATTTCATCAACGATTACTGTGCAGCTGTGTAGGGAAAATTCTGGTAAGAAACTTCATATCAGAGGAATTGTATATTACCTTTTTAAATATGATACTATTTTCAAGCGTTGCTTGGATTATATTATGGACAGCGATACCAAGCATGTAACAATTTTAGAAAATACTCGGTACCAATTTCCCGAGCAACAAGTAATGGTAAACTTGGATGCATGGATTACAGAATTAACAGAAACTGAAGAAAAATCTGTGCAGCCTCTGTCAACTTTCCCTAAGCTGTTGTGCGATATGCATGAAATGTATGAAAAGCAGGATCACTCCGATTTAATTGTCATCTGCAAAGGCGTGAAAATCCGTGTTCACAAGTGCGTGCTTTCTGCCAGATCTCCAGTATTTGCTAAGATGTTCCAACAAGTCACCACTGAAAGCAACGACAACCGAATAGACATCACGGATATCGACCCTGATATCCTGGAAGAGCTGCTGAAGTTTTTTTATTGTGGTAAAATAAACCCGTCCAGTTATTCAAGGGCCCATGATTTGTATTTTGCAGCTGAAAAGTATTTCGTATCGGATCTCAAAGATATGTGTCGGGATATAATTATATCCTATTTGACTATTACATCAGCTGTCGAAACGTTAATTTTAGCTGATAAGCACAAGGATAAAGAAATGATGCAGAAAGCAATTACTTTTATCGCCTCTTCATTCCAGTACGTGAAGTCAACAGAACCGTGGATAATTCTTCAGCAAGAAAATTCCCCCTTAGCGACTAAAGTTTTATCTGAGGTTGTTGAAAAATCGCATTCCAAACACAGTGATAGTGTGTGACGTATTTTTTATTCCATGATCGATATTTTGTCACTCAACAAATCTTATCATCCAGTCTGATTCATATTGGGAAATTAGTATAATATATGGGAATGAATACAGTGTCATTTTTGTAAATTACAGATGATTTTTAACAGGTTTCGTGTTTACAATGTTTAGATTGCAGTTATCTTGAAGTAAATTAAAAAGCAAGTATTGTACTTGATTTTTTGTACGTAAGTGACGGTAATATAGCATTTTATTGGAATATGTGTGTTCTGTTTTTACATTATTATGCTTATATTTTAACTCATAAATGTTTTTAAATTAAAAATGCTACGAAAAGAATTGTTAAAGGTATTCTTTGCATAGATATGACTTTCAATTAAGTCCGCGTATTGCTTTGAAAACGCTTGTCTTGAAAGTGCATTAATTACTCATAGTTTTTATGCATCAGTTTTTAATACCATTCACAGAAATCTCTTTTTTATCTAAAGTGTTTAATTAGTAATAAAAACCATATGTTTATTCATTTGCTTTTTCGTTCTGTAGCTGCAATAAGGTAAAAGATTATGAATGATGTTTGTATACGTATTTATTATCTTTTCTCACTGCAATGTATACTTTTTCTTGAGAAAATTTATTAAATTTCTATTTTATTTCTAAAATGTTTGTACTTCTGAATTAAAAATAATGCAATGTAAATTAAATGAAAGTATGAAAGAATGAATGAGTAAATGAAAAATATAATGTTACTAGATAAACAAACGTTTAAATAACTTTTAAAATGTAGTAATTATTTAAAATGTCGTAAATACAAATAACTTAATTAGATTGTTTATATACATGTTCTCATTTTTTGTAAAGTTATGATTGTTTTATTTTCATTCCGTCATGATTATGAAAATGCGTTCATCAATTTAAACTCTTTCCATTATTCAGAAACTTGTTTTTAATATTGGAGAAATCATTAAAAATGTTTGGTTAAAAATATTCTCTTATGAACAGGCTTACCAGACGCCCCGCCTGAATAGTAAATGTTTAATGATGGGGGTCCGTACGTTCGATTAGTTTCTCACTTTGTACCTTTTTCTGTAAAATTTTAAAATTGCTGAATAAAAGGTACAGATTTAATTGTGGTCCGGATATAGCCGGAATTCCAGATTATTTACTATAACGTATTTCCGAGATATAGACTCACTAATCAGAAATGTTTTAAACCAAATTATTTTCAGGTTTACTTTTAGAACAAATATATTATTCAAGGGTCATTGAGAGGCCAGTCATCTTATCCGAGAAACGTAGGTTTGTCTTGTACAGAAAAAATTATTTTTACTATTTGTCTTGCACATAATCAGAAAAAAAATTGGGTGCTAATCCGTTTTGAGGACCGTAAAACATCGGCAAACTCTTGTTGATGCCAGTGCTGCCAAAAATAATTGCGGCAACCCTAATGCAAGAAAGGAAGTATAATAGTAAATTACTATTTAAGATTGTTTTAATTTAGATGAAAGGTTAATTTCATATAATACTTATTATTATAATTTATATAAAAAAGGCTAAACATATCTGAATGGAAGAATAAGGGTAAAAAACTATTTCAGATCATTATTATAATTTATATAAAAAAAAGGCTAAACATAACTGAATGGATTCCTGCATCGCTATTTCGCTACCGAGTTATCGCCAATGCATAATTTCATCTCGTTGGTTGTTCAAACATAATTTTCTATAATGAATGATGAATTTTCTTTGAAAACATTCTATTGCAGATTTTTCGTCATGCGCAAATCCCGAATTGTTAAGTCTATAGGATATCAAAAAAGGATTTAAAAATTAAACTAGTATTTCAATGGCGTCTTAAGAAAGACGGAACTATCTAAACTTACGCAATCTGAAATCAGCGCATACGTTAGATTTGGCGCGCTGCTAAATCGGCGCGTGTGCTATATTTGGCGCTTTTGCGCATACATTTTCGTTGCAGTTTTTTACGGCCATCAAAACGGAATAGTACCAAGAATTAATATTGCATAGTTTTTGTCTGAAGTATTCAGTATAAAACAAGACAGCAAATAGAAATACCCGGTGAGGAAAAATTATTAATATGTTATAACTTGCTTCCCTGAATGTTCCTCTAGTTATGTGAGTGATATTATGTCAGAATAAAGAACTTCGTTGAAGAGCATTAGTTTATATGTCGCACAAAATAAAATATTATTCATTCTTCTTTTAGAAAACTACTTACAAAAGATTTGGGTCTGACTATTGGTAAAAGTTTCAAGGATACTTTATTTGCATAATTGGAAAACTTACCTATGTATTTAGCTGTCACGAACCATTTTTCTTCTTTCTAACATTTATTCTTCTCCAACATTTGTTAATGCATACTGCAAGTTCTAATCTAATAAAGGACTATATGAAGAACCTTTGTCTACATCGAAATATCGCGCAATTTACATATGAAATCTTCAATTTTCAGCATTGAAAAATCTTAATGCGGAAGTTCCCTTAAAAATGTATCTCCTGCCCCAGCCTCCAGCTTAATTTAGCAATTATTTTTTAAATCTATTGAGAAATCAAACAGATTGGTACAGTGACGTAGCTAAAGAGTGGCGGCCCTACCCGAAGCGAGATTTTTAGGGGCGGCATTTTTCGCGTAAAACCTTCTTTTTATAGGATTTAGTAAGGTGAATCATCGAGGCTGGTGAAGAATAATTAATTTGCCATATAGAATTGAGAAAAACACGAGTAAAAAATATGGAAAGAAATCGCCACTTGATATCTATAGGTACGTGCTTTTTTCATAGCTTTCTTTCTACTTCGGAAAATTTTGAATGCAAATTACGAATATTAACTAAATTATGATTATAGTGACATTAATGAGAAACAGTTCGTTATTAAGAAAGATATATTCGGACCAGAAAAATCGAAATAAATACAAATGTGGTTTTTCATTCAAGAAATTTTTCTTTACTGTCTACATAACAGCTAAAATAATCAAATATACCTCTACAATGTCACTGACAGTTTTGCGAACTGAAAATAAGCAAACTAATAATTTTAAAATGTTAAAATTAAACTTTTTCATTAAAAATAAGTTTGTGTTTAAAAATAAGTTTCTGTAAAAATGTGTTTTTATTTATTTTATTTGATATTCTTTTGACACATTGACATACTTTTGATATATATTTTTTGATATCCTCTTGATACACTAACTTGTTTGTGTATCAAGAGGAGCGGTAAAATATGGGATCGCCGCGGATGGCAAAAGTTCTTATATACACGCCACTGTTCTTTTGCATAGGTATCAACATTGACAATTTTACGAATGATACAGAAAAACAACATCTCAAGCTATTTATTACTTCAACAGAAACTTAAAATTCATTTAAAACGAGGCCCACCAGCGGCCGAGCGGTAAAGTCGCTGAACACTGGTAGTTCGGTCCGAGGTTCGAATCCCGCGAACGGGCTGGCTGCATGGGCGTTTTCGTGGTTTTCCCCATGTGTAACGTGTATACGAGCCAGTTTCCCTTAGAAAGTCCTCCACGAAGGCATCCCTCCTCTTAAGCAGATAGCCCTCGAGGCTTTGCCATACTCACACACACACACATTTAAAACGTTATTTTGTCGAGTGAACCTATTATATTTAACTGTAATAATTAAAAAAATAAGGCATTTTCATGCGATGAAATTCGTCAGTCACGAATGAAAATATATTTTCAAGGCTTACGCCTGTCATTGGGTTTAGGTTGTAGTAATGGGAAAATAGGTGTCAAATTAAGAAGGTTATCCGTTTCAATAATGGCCCACCAGCGGCCGAGCGGTAAAGACTCTGAACACTGGTAGTTCGGTCCGAGGTTCGAATCCCGAGAACGGGCTGGCTGCATGGACGTTTTCGTGGTTTTTTCCATGTGTAACGTGTATACGAGCCAGTTTCCCTTAGAAAGTCCTCCATCCCTCCCTTTATGCAGATAGCCATCGTGTGCTTTGCCATAACTGAATAACGCAATCCTTTGAAATAATGGGGAAAAGGCATTAAATTAGAGAAGTTTAATATAATTCATACATTATTTATCATACATAAACTATGTACATCAAATAAATATGCTTTGCATAGATATTATTTTCTATAGTTTCGCATATTGCTTTGAACAATCTATGTCTTAAAAATGCATTAATTACAGTTTTTATACTTAATTCTATCAACAGCATTAAAACACTTACTTTTTTATTAAGGTATAAAGAGTATGAATGATATTTGCATATGTAATCATTATCTTCTATCATTGCAATTTATAATTTTTCTTAAGAAAATTCATGATATTTCTCTTTCGTTTCCAAAATGTTTGTATTTCTGAATTACATAAACAATGTGATTTTACTAAATGAACAAACGTTTAATTAACTTTAAAATTTCATAACTAATAGTAAATAATATAGCTGGATTATATATATAAATTTTCATTTATATTTAAGGGTATGAGCATTTTATTTTCATATGATTATGAAAATTTGTCACATCAATCTACACTCTTTCTATTACTCAGAAACTTTTTTTTTTACGTTAAAGAAATCTTATTTAAGACGTTTTGTCGTTCTTTTATGAACAGGCTCTTATGAAGTCTCGTTTCAACCGAAATTGGCCCGGTTTGTCATTATGTTTGACAGCGTCAAGGTCAGTTTGTCATTTCTATTATGATCATCTGGTTAAATTTCAAACCTGCTGAATATGCTAGAAGTAAAAATAATGCAGTCTCTGGTAAAACAGTCATTTCGCAATTAAAAAAAAACCCCTCTTATAACTCTTGCTGCTGCCAATCTAAATGTTTCGCAGAACTAAATATGCGTAAGTGTTTCTATTTAAATGCAATATTCATTTAAAATTTAAGCCGTTACTATAAATTTTCCTTTCCGTTTCCTCACTGTAATGTAAATGGGTTAAGAGAGTGTTTAAGCTGAGATTTTTGGATTTTGATACGGAGCGAATTTGTGCCATTCGAGGCTACGTTACTT